GCTGCACAGGCATGCCTACGATGTGACACTTTGTCGACCGCTTAGATTTGGTTAGCCGATTGCAGCTAACTGAAATGCTGCATATTGGCGCGTTCGCGGTGTCAACGAAATTTTCGACGTTCTTATACCATTTGTTCAGTTATATTTGCTGTTGTTGTTGTTTGTGTGCTGCTGTTGATTGTTTTTGCACAGCTTTGTTTAGCTTGTGGGCAGTGTGGTATAAGATTTTTGTTTTTCCGCATTTACAGCTTCATTATGCAAAGACGCGTGCCGTGTATCAGACGTTCCGCTTTGACTATTGCAATTGTGCTTGTTATTGCATTGTTGTTGTTTTGGTTATCCATTTATTTATTTTGTCGTTTTTTTTTTTTGATTTTAGTGCTCTACTAAGTCAATTTATGTTTGTCATTGTTAATACTTGCAACTAAACGACGGTGTTTAGTTCACGGTAGTGTTGATTTTCCCATTGAAGTGAAACGTGTTTGAGCGAAATTGGCGGCGCGCGAGCAATTTTCATAGCGTGTCGCATTTGCACAGCAACGGTATACGATTCGATCTTATTTAACGGATTAATATTATTGAACAGATGAAAGTAAAAAAGTGATATAATTCAAATATAATATGCAAATTAAGATTTGTGATATATTAACACTAAAAAAAAATAATACAAATTTATTTGGCAAAAATAAATATCTGATAAAATTTAAAAATTATNTGCAAAAAAAAAAAAATCGAAAAAATAATAAAAGGAAAATATGATATCCTTCACAGCTGCCTTTCTTATGGCAGAAAAGGGTTTTCAAAAATCTTTATTGTGCTCTTGAACACTCAGTTTGTATGACAACTATATGCTATAGTGGTCCGTCTGAACAATTTGTTGGAAGTTAGTGGCACTTTTTTGGAAAATAAATAATGCATAATTTCGTGAAGGGTTTTTGTCAAATGAAAAAGTTTTCCTTACAAGAACTTGTTTYGGATCGGTTATTTGTATGRCAACTATATGTTATAGTGGTCCGATCTGGAAAATATATTCGGAGATTATGCCGATATCTTGAACAATAATACTTCTCGAATTTCGTCAAGATATMTKTTTTAATAAAAAAGTTTTTCAYAAAAGAACAGTTTTTTGATTAGTCAGTTTGTATGGGAGCTATATGCTATAGTGCTCCGATCTCAGCTATTTATTGAGAGGTAATGTCACTATCTTGGAAAATAATTCATGCAAAATTTTTTCAAGATATCTCGTCAAATAAAARAGTTTTTCTTATAAGAACTTCRTTTTAATGATTCAGTTTGTATGGGAGCTATACGGTAGAGTASTCTGATCTGTTTAATCTAGTCGGAGCTTCTAGCATTGCTTTTGATAATAATCTRWRCCGAAYTTCGTGCAGATATCTTGTCAAATAAAAATGTTTTTGTACAAGGATTTGGGGTTTCCTATCAGTTAGTATGACAGCTATATAATATAGCGATCCGATCTAAATATTTTATTCTTTGTATAATAGTCCAATTTCCTTAAATATCTTTACAAATAAAAAATTTTTCCATATAAGAACGTTTTTTTCGATCGGTTCCTTTACCCACGATGCTCGCGTGGACCATTTACTGTATATGTAAGTCCAAAGTGTGATCAGCGCGATCTTTGAGCTTGCAGCAATGGATTCCGAAGCATCCCATATACATGCCTTTTTACATATTCACTCGTCTGGCAGAGTATTGATTTTCATTGCCGCAGTATCTGTTGTTCTTTTGTTTTGAGTCGATTGTGATTCGGAAAATACAGAATTTGACTACCAGTCTTTTCATTCAACTCGAGATGACGCTCATAAATGCTTGTATAARCAAAACAACAAATATCCATTGAGCTGCTGATTTATATACGAGTACATACATACACACATATCAATGAACAATAATCGGCGAACAAACGTAAGCAAATTTATTTGAATGACTGTCGGCTGTTATTTTCAGAGYTCGGTCATATGTAAAGGTTCGTTTAAATATTTCAGGCATAGCAAATAAAAATTAACTATATAGTTGTATGTATGTTGGATTTGTGTATGTGCATATAATTTTTATTTTTATTGCAAATGTTATGGCCAACAACAAATAAATATACATTGCTAATTTCATGGTTTTAAGCCAAAATCCAGAGATTCGTCTACTTAAGCTCGTATAAAATGAAAAATCCCTTCTTTAAAAAATTTAATTAAAATCTTTTCTTTATTTTGCAACAGAAATTTTGCCTGAGACAATTTGTATTATAATAATTTTTTTTTTTGTCTTCACACACCGTGCTTAGACTGAGTTCACACACGAGAACTTTTGTSGACAATCCTGCTCATTTCGAAATTCTCTCCAAGGCTGCAAGTGTGCACGGTTCGAATATGAATATGTATATAKATTTGAATTTTATTAAATGTTTTTATTTAGAAAAGGAATTTATTTTTATTTACAAAACAGTAAATAAGGTCAAAAATAGCTAACCAAAAATAGTGGGTAGTCGAAAAAGCCATTTCGTATTTTGTCAATGGTGTCATATACCACATAGCGTTGAAAAGGTGATATTTTAAGCGTTGTTTAACCAATGTTTTTGTTCACCAGAATTTGAGAATATGATACAAAAGCGAAAGCTAAAAGCAACACCAAAAGTGCATTTCCCGATATCGAGCGACAAAAGTTGTCCTATGTAAACCCAGTCGTAGTCTCGTGGCATTGTTTTACATGCAATACTGTTGGTGTTTACTTGGTTATGCTTTTATGCTTTTGGCTGTGGGTGGTCCAATCTACAAGTCAGTGTCATATGCAAAATTGCTGCAGTTATGAAAACACTTCTCGTATAAACAATATCCCTGAGTTGTATGTTTTATAAGCACAGTGAGGATGTCATGCAAATGTTTGTATGTATGTATGTATGTATTATGTAAGAAAAAAAGTTGAAATAGGTCAGGTTTTGGAAAGTTTTGGCAAAAGTGGCAGACTTCTTATGGCTATATAAATTCCTACATTTTTACAGGATATACATATATAAACGCAACTTGATATCTACAGAACAGATATTATTATATTGTAACAAATTATTTAAATAAATTAATCTTTGAATGAAAAATAAGATTTACTCAATGTAAACATAACAAATTGTATAAAAATGCATATGAAAAATTTTTATTACAAAACGATTTTAGAAATTAACTCAGAAATATTAAAAATACAAATTAAATAAGACAGTACGAAGCAATAAACAATGTTGGTATTAAAAATATAAATTTACGTGGAAATGATTTAATAAATAAGAAAAAATTCAAAATAAAAATAATTAATTCAAAAATTAAAACTCTACGCAAATAAGTCGAAACAATGTTTTTCCCGAACTACAACAATATGTACTTCAAGAGCTACTGCTATGGGTAAATATTACTAAAATACCACTCAAAAACCATCTAATCAAATTTGAATCGGACTGATCAAATTTGCACCGAACTGGTTCATAAATTTTTTCCCTAGATTGGCACAACTGTTTTTTAATGTACGTGTTACTTTTGATCCTCACATGTCAATTATTTTTTAACTCTGAAAAAAAAAAAAAAAATAGAGCAACAAGTTTGTTTAAAATTTTTTTCCATTGACATCAGGGAAAATCACGAAATCGCACGGAAGATATTGCAGAAGTGTCTTGGGGTGTATACTTTATCATGAACATACATAAGTATTTGAGTGACACAAAACATGCGGTGAAGATCGTAAAGTCATCGAAAACTTATTCTTATTTATTCGTAGAATTTTGGGAGAGGAACAACTATGTATATAAGTAATTACTACTTCTTGTTCCATGATGATTTTTGTGGCTCACTGGAAATATTGTATAGCTTTTAAATTTTTTATTGGATCCGCCCCTGACCACTGTTATCGACGTTAACTTTGAAAAAGTTACAGAAACATTGCTTGAAAATCATCGAGCTATCAGAGGATCTCAGCATCCCTTTTGTATCAAACCAACACATTTTGTTTGATGTTGTGGTTATGAAACCAGTCAATGCTACACTCATAACACAGGACGTGTATATTTTGCAAAAGCAACGTTGAGTGGAGGTCACAGAAGAGACAAAAGAGGTCAGTTTGACAACGTATGTAGCTGAGGTCTCTACATTTATCAAATACATCATTACTGTTGATGAGACGTCGATTTATGCATACGACATGGAAACTCGTCAACAATCTGGTGAATGCGCGCCAAGAATGAGCCGAAAGCGAAAAAACCAAAACTCGCTGAAGACACTGAAGGCTATGCCAAACGCGGACCAAAGTGTATGGGAAATTGGATTAATCGTTGACGTGCTAGTTATTGACGCAACAAGCTATTTTGTGGACATTAATAAGGATAAATAAAAATTTAGAGTCCGGGTCAATTTTGATCATATAGTACTTATATTCTATTGAACAAAACAAAACGAAATATTCCTTACCTCAGCAATCTATTTTAGGGCAGTAATAAAGACAATTAAAATTTAGAATCCGGTTCAAATTTGATCAGATGATCCATATATTCATACGGATATGAAGGTTGAACAAAACGAAATATCTCTTAATATATGTACATATATATAATTAATTTAAAATATTTTGAAATAATTGGTATTCACTTAAGAGTTAATAAGCGTTCTAGATTKYAGAAATATATGTATATATGTATACATACATATGCATTTAAGTTTAGTAAAAATATCGTGATATAAAAATATTTATTACTTAAATTCTTTGCGATGATAAATAGTTGAGGTTCATTGTGTATACATATATATAAATGTGCTTACTATAAGTTTTGTAGCCCATAAGTACACGCTCTGCCGTTTGATATCATTACTAATCAATACTCTCTTTGTTTCTTCCACTGCATATGCGTTTTACATTTACATTTTGTACGCCCTATTGATGATCAATCCGCCGTCTTGTGCTCGCCCAAATTCCAATAAACGCTACGACGACGTATTGACTCGTTACAGCAGTTATCCCGGATCWCTCTTGACATCGGCCACCAATGGCATTCAACAGTATGGCATGCAACCGAGTAGTGCAATCAGCGCCGTCTCATCCGCCTCGCCATCCCATCAGCCAGTACATTCGGCCGCYTCCACGCCTGGCGCACATGCAACCAACTCTGTAGTGGTAGCGGGCACCGGTTCCGGTTCAAATTCCATCAACAACGACGACTACGGCTCGCCGAAGAGCAATACCAGTAGTAATGGTGGTGGTGGTGTTGGCAGTGGAGCGACCAACAGCCAGTCTATTGCTGGTGGCAGTGGACGTTTGCCTGCATTTCAACGCATCTCCAGTTATGTTGGTGGTGCGGGCGGTGCAGCTGGTGTCGGCGGTGTGTCGAATGTCAACGTCGGCGGTGGCGGCGCCGATCGTTACACATCGTTGACAAATTATCGCACAGTGAGTATATTACCTACGTACATGCATACAAAGCAATATTGGGCCNTAGACTGAGTTCACACACGAGAACTTTTGTGGACAATCCTGCTCATTTCGAAATTCTCTCCAAGGCTGCAAGTGTGCACGGTTCGAATATGAATATGTATATAKATTTGAATTTTATTAAATGTTTTTATTTAGAAAAGGAATTTATTTTTATTTACAAAACAGTAAATAAGGTCAAAAATAGCTAACCAAAAATAGTGGGTAGTCGAAAAAGCCATTTCGTATTTTGTCAATGGTGTCATATACCACATAGCGTTGAAAAGGTGATATTTTAAGCGTTGTTTAACCAATGTTTTTGTTCACCAGAATTTGAGAATATGATACAAAAGCGAAAGCTAAAAGCAACACCAAAAGTGCATTTCCCGATATCGAGCGACAAAAGTTGTCCTATGTAAACCCAGTCGTAGTCTCGTGGCATTGTTTTACATGCAATACTGTTGGTGTTTACTTGGTTATGCTTTTATGCTTTTGGCTGTGGGTGGTCCAATCTACAAGTCAGTGTCATATGCAAAATTGCTGCAGTTATGAAAACACTTCTCGTATAAACAATATCCCTGAGTTGTATGTTTTATAAGCACAGTGAGGATGTCATGCAAATGTTTGTATGTATGTATGTATGTATTATGTAAGAAAAAAAGTTGAAATAGGTCAGGTTTTGGAAAGTTTTGGCAAAAGTGGCAGACTTCTTATGGCTATATAAATTCCTACATTTTTACAGGATATACATATATAAACGCAACTTGATATCTACAGAACAGATATTATTATATTGTAACAAATTATTTAAATAAATTAATCTTTGAATGAAAAATAAGATTTACTCAATGTAAACATAACAAATTGTATAAAAATGCATATGAAAAATTTTTATTACAAAACGATTTTAGAAATTAACTCAGAAATATTAAAAATACAAATTAAATAAGACAGTACGAAGCAATAAACAATGTTGGTATTAAAAATATAAATTTACGTGGAAATGATTTAATAAATAAGAAAAAATTCAAAATAAAAATAATTAATTCAAAAATTAAAACTCTACGCAAATAAGTCGAAACAATGTTTTTCCCGAACTACAACAATATGTACTTCAAGAGCTACTGCTATGGGTAAATATTACTAAAATACCACTCAAAAACCATCTAATCAAATTTGAATCGGACTGATCAAATTTGCACCGAACTGGTTCATAAATTTTTTCCCTAGATTGGCACAACTGTTTTTTAATGTACGTGTTACTTTTGATCCTCACATGTCAATTATTTTTTAACTCTGAAAAAAAAAAAAAAAATAGAGCAACAAGTTTGTTTAAAATTTTTTTCCATTGACATCAGGGAAAATCACGAAATCGCACGGAAGATATTGCAGAAGTGTCTTGGGGTGTATACTTTATCATGAACATACATAAGTATTTGAGTGACACAAAACATGCGGTGAAGATCGTAAAGTCATCGAAAACTTATTCTTATTTATTCGTAGAATTTTGGGAGAGGAACAACTATGTATATAAGTAATTACTACTTCTAGTTCCGTGATGATTTTTGTAGCTCACTGGAAATATTGTATAACTTTTAAATTTTTTATTGGATCCGCCCCTGACCACTGTTAACGACGTTAACTTTGAAAAAGTTACAGAAACATTGCTTGAAAATCATCGTGTTGGCATCAGAGAGCTATCAGAGGATCTCAGCATCCCTTTTGTATCAAACCAACACATTTTGTTTGATGTTGTGGTTATGAAACCAGTCAATGCTACACTCATAACACAGGACGTGTATATTTTGCAAAAGCAACGTTGAGTGGAGGTCACAGGAGAGACATAAGAGGTCAGTTTGACAACGTATGTAGCTGAGGTCTCTACATTTATCAAATACATCATTACTGTTGATGAGACGTCGATTTATGCATACGACATGGAAACTCGTCAACAATCTGGTGAATGCGCGCCAAGAATGAGCCGAAAGCGAAAAAACCAAAACTCGCTGAAGACACTGAAGGCTATGCCAAACGCGGACCAAAGTGTATGGGAAATTGGATTAATCGTTGACGTGCTAGTTATTGACGCAACAAGCTATTTTGTGGACATTAATAAGGATAAATAAAAATTTAGAGTCCGGGTCAATTTTGATCATATAGTACTTATATTCTATTGAACAAAACAAAACGAAATATTCCTTACCTCAGCAATCTATTTTAGGGCAGTAATAAAGACAATTAAAATTTAGAATCCGGTTCAAATTTGATCAGATGATCCATATATTCATACGGATATGAAGGTTGAACAAAACGAAATATCTCTTAATATATGTACATATATATAATTAATTTAAAATATTTTGAAATAATTGGTATTCACTTAAGAGTTAATAAGCGTTCTAGATTKYAGAAATATATGTATATATGTATACATACATATGCATTTAAGTTTAGTAAAAATATCGTGATATAAAAATATTTATTACTTAAATTCTTTGCGATGATAAATAGTTGAGGTTCATTGTGTATACATATATATAAATGTGCTTACTATAAGTTTTGTAGCCCATAAGTACACGCTCTGCCGTTTGATATCATTACTAATCAATACTCTCTTTGTTTCTTCCACTGCATATGCGTTTTACATTTACATTTTGTACGCCCTATTGATGATCAATCCGCCGTCTTGTGCTCGCCCAAATTCCAATAAACGCTACGACGACGTATTGACTCGTTACAGCAGTTATCCCGGATCWCTCTTGACATCGGCCACCAATGGCATTCAACAGTATGGCATGCAACCGAGTAGTGCAATCAGCGCCGTCTCATCCGCCTCGCCATCCCATCAGCCAGTACATTCGGCCGCYTCCACGCCTGGCGCACATGCAACCAACTCTGTAGTGGTAGCGGGCACCGGTTCCGGTTCAAATTCCATCAACAACGACGACTACGGCTCGCCGAAGAGCAATACCAGTAGTAATGGTGGTGGTGGTGTTGGCAGTGGAGCGACCAACAGCCAGTCTATTGCTGGTGGCAGTGGACGTTTGCCTGCATTTCAACGCATCTCCAGTTATGTTGGTGGTGCGGGCGGTGCAGCTGGTGTCGGCGGTGTGKCGAATGTCAACGTCGGCGGTGGCGGCGCCGATCGTTACACATCGTTGACAAATTATCGCACAGTGAGTATATTACCTACGTACATGCATACAAAGCAAAATTTGGTCCGACTTTACTACTTGAACTGTGCGTGTTCATTACATATATACATACATACATATATGTTATACATACTTAAGCACTTACTTACTCAAGCATATGTAAATGCTTGTGTAATGCACTAAATAAATGTATTTATGTAYTGCGTCAAGTAAAGCTCACGCCGTTGCACTTAGTTATCTACACTATATTCTTCACTGCTTGTACTCACATGGTGCGATATTTTCACAAATAATATAAATTCTAATTTTTGTAACGTTGTTTTTTTTTTTTGTTTCTACTTTTTTCGCTTTAGAACGACACATGGGCAGGCCATTATGAGGCAATTGGTTACGCGCCCACTTCGGTCGTAACGAGCGCTGCCGGCCTAGTTGGAAACACGAACGTCATACGCAGCTGCAATGGACGTGCGGGTCCGGGCGTTGGCGTGGTTGGTGTTGGTGTGGAGGGCTCCGCATCAGCCAATTTGGCGGCCGCTGCGGCACATTTGACTGCATCCGCATCGTTGTCAGCAAGTGAGTAGTCGAAAAAGTCAAAAACAATTCGAAAAAAAAAAAATGAAAATAAAAATAGGTAGTCCAAAGCTTTGTTGGAAGTTAACATACTAACTGTACAATGTTAACATACTAACACCGTTAATTATTAATACTATTTTGTTGTTATTTAGTTAATAATTAGCAGTTTGTTTTTAAAATTTTTTGTAGAAAATTTCAACCTTAAATTTAGGTTAGGTTAGATATTTGATTGCTCAACATGGCAGTGGGATCCCTCTGACTTAGACTGTTATGACGGTCCTTTCTGAAACCAGGCGAGATAACTTCTGCAGTTGGGTATTGCCTAGCTATCGGCAAATCGCCTTGAAACTATTACAAGTCTGTTAAAGTGTTTTATTTTTATTTTCGAATTTCGAAATTATTTTCAACTGGTTCTCTRAATGTATGAGATTCGAGCTSTGGCAAAAGCGAGACATTCGAGCAGAAACTGTTGAGATGATGCTATCTTATCTTCTTGGGCAGTGTACAGTTAAAACTCATTTAGCTATTGAAAGGTGAACCTTGCTGAGAGCGAAGAGCTCTTAAACATCTTCCGATTTACCCTGAGGGATCTCGCAACTGCGCAGCKGCTSATAGCTGAGCAACGCYCGCTGGACTGGTCTGAGTYTTAACAGTCCCGTAGTAAACCACAACTTTAAGCTTAGACAACCTAACCTTCTCATCTTCTTTTCACATAACTTCATTAGTTGATATTTTGGGTSATATTGATAGCTGTCAATAGAGATAATGCAGGGTTGCGATTATTTAATCAAAATATTTGGATTCAGCTTTGAAATAATTTGTCCCAAAATCGGAATTAAAAATTGGAAATTTAA